ACCACGCTGTCCAAACGGTTTGGTACAGGACTTGTTTCAAGTTGTTTCTTTGCACTGCTGTTATCCTGCTTAGTTTGCTCCCTTAGTCGGCTCTTTCGATATCCACCGGATGAATAGGGGTTGTGACACTCCGTATTCTTCATCCGTCAGCATACGTACAAACCAAATTAACGACACCAAAACCAAATTAATGACGGATTAAAAGTATCTATTAAATTTTTAGGGGCCTTTTCGAACGCGGAATTAAACTACAATTTAGGTTACGAACACAAAATGAAGGTAACATTAACAGAAAAACCCGCAAAGAAAGCTAAATCTCAAATACTCTCAGAGCGATGTGTGTACTTATGAAACAGTATGCATGTTATATGGTAATAACATTTAAAAATCTGTACATGTAAGTAATGTATTTAAGTTTGTTTTGAGTTACAAGATTATTAATATAAAATAATAATATTATTATTGTTAACAATTTCAAATATATCTTTGCTCCTACCTCATAACATTTCTGCATAACCCTAAGGTTGACTGGTAGAGAATATCCTGGGCCATTAAGGCCGCCTTTGTACAAAGTTTTCAAATAAATAAATATCTATAACGTGTCCTAGATCACTGCTTACCGACATACGTAATCTGGTTGGTCTGACAGGACAGGATCAAATGATTCAGGGTTCTAATTGTAAAAAAGGCCTCGAGAGTCGTGTAGAGGTCTTAGAAAGAAAGTAGACTCAAATGAGAAATGTAATTACTTTAATTTTCATAACCATTAACATAGTTACAAGCCAGAACAAAAAGACACACGTTTAATGTCATTGCACATTGAAGTTTAGACAACTTCCGTTTGTCAAATTAATACATAGCTCCTTTTTTCATTTTTGTTGCGTCGATATCCCCTCGTGGTTATGTCGGACTCGAACTGACTAAAACCGCACGCCGTCTCGGTTATCAGTAGCCGACCGAGCTGGGAACTTGGTGTAGCCTAGAAAGGAAATTCCTAGTACCCCGAATATACATATAGCTCCAAAGCGTACGAAAGCAGTATTTGGTACGTTTTCGTAACTTACACCTCAGCACAAATGAACAAAGATTTAACACAGAGTTTTAGAAGTTTTCTTTGTTAAGTACCGAGGCAAATAGACAGTTGTCTAAATTATACGTTCTTAAAAAAAAAAAGCGCGATTTACTACAGAACCAGAGATCCGAAACGAGAGAATCGCCGTTTTTCTTTAGGCTAGACGTCGACACTTTCATGCTTGTTGTTACAGGGGGTTCAAAGGACACTGTTTAACGTCTCTAGAATATTTAGAAATCTCTACTGACTAGTCTTTTGTGAATTGATAGAGACTGAGGTTGAGATGTCCGTATATAAAAAATATCTTAAACAATATGAAATTATCCCGAACGTCCGTATATAAAGAAATACAGACCTTACTTATATGTCTTTTTATACTACGTATGGATTTAGTAAAATTATAGAATAGACTTTGCGTAAAAATTCACATGTATATTTTTAATTATAGTAGCTTGATGCATATTTATTTTTTCGCAAATTTAGTGTCATTACAACTTTAACATACATATATTATATTCAGGCATATCCATATAACTTGAAATTTAGCATATCATTCCATTAAAACTGACGTTTGTAAAGCTGTAAAAATAATTGTATATATAATTTAATAATTATCTTTTATTCAAGGCAGGAACATGAAATAGCGGTAAATACTACCTGGTTCTACGGGTTATATGAGTATTACATGGTCTAGATTGGTAGCAAATTTAAATAATAAGAATGTTGGGTAGGTACATTAGTTAGGTCGGAACAAGTAGGATAAAAAAAATTAATAACCAAACAGGGTAAGAAATTTTCCCGGAATGTTACGGCCGAATGATACGCAGGTTCTGCGGTCGTGGCAGGCACCGCTTGTAATCCAGGGCTGTGCTAGCCAACGCGCCGTCGGAGCCGTTCTGCCGAGCTTTGAAGCGTGGGTAGGGAGAAACGACTGTGTCACCTACCGATTGATTCCGATGCTTACCGGGCACGGTTGCTTGTCACCGCCAGCATTGATCGCGGCAATGCTGGCGGTGGCATGGATGGGCAGCCGCGGTCTCCTTCTGCGAGGACGTTATGCTCCAAAAAGAGGCGGCGAAGGGGACGCGGCAGGCGTCGCTAACTCCCCTATCGTCGCCTAAGGGTCGCTGCGGCCACATCTTGGGTACGATGTGACCGCTGTAAACGACTCGAGACAGATGATACTCCGGTGCGGCCGGGTGGTTGGTCGTCTAAGGGACGCTGTTGCGCCTTTTACTCTGTAGAGCAGTGAGAGGCGCGGTAGCGTCCTGCCCCAGGGTGACTACGGTCACTCCGGGATGTGCCTCAGACATGAGGTACGACAGAGAGGACTCCAGAAGTCGCCGATGCGTTCCTGGAGCTGAAGCATTCCGCATGAAAAAAAAGGGAAGAAATTTCATATTTCTGGTGATAAGTGACAATCGTCAAAGCTTTCTAAACAGAGAGAGAGAGGAATAGGTTTGAACACCGGCACCACAAACCACAACTTCCTTTTCGTCTATAGTTCAAAATGAGCTTATTCGTCTAGTGGCGGCCACTGTTCGCAAACGTTGGCCGCTTCAACGTTTATAAAAAAAATGAAAATATTTATCCAAAAGGCCCCGTCCTTTTCAAATTAAGCCAGATAATTAAAAGTAAAGCGGTGAGTTTATTCGATATAATACTTAAGCAGCTACTGGGATATAATACGGTTTGTCGCTCTATTGTTAGTGAATATAATGTTGGTCCCGTAATGGATGGATATACGGAACGATGTCTTTTCTTATTCCCCGAGGTTGAGGGCTAGAGCCTACCTAGTACATAATTATCATGAAGATATGTTGAACCATTTCTGATATGAATATGGTAGACCACTGAAGAGCGGTTTACCACTGAAACAAGTAAGAAAGCCAGACTTCTTAATAACCGCATATAATTCTACGAATTTATGACTGTAAGATTTTGAAATGAAATATATATCACTTGCATTTATTGACCGCATCCAAAATTAAGATTACCTTCTAACCTAGCATGATTTTTTTTGATGCCACCTTGATCATAACAGCCCTTCGAGACTATATTTCAAATGAATGTGCTGATATTTGCCAAAAATAGGCCGAAGCTTGGCAAGGGTATCAGAAGCGAAAGAACGGTTTCCTGGAGAGTGTTGGTAAAGAGTTAACAGCTAAAGAAGGAATTGAACTGTGAAGGGAAAGAGGGTTAGATTATACTCTGTGTAAAATATGTACCAGTTTTAGTCGTTTGCTAGAAAGTGATGTCAGAGTTAGGTCTTATCTAGATGTTAAGACACTGTACTGACACTGTGTGCAATCGTTTAAAAAGAAATGTGAAGAATTGGAAAATGGTTGTGGTTATAACGGGTAAATATAGGATATTCACATGATGTATGTAATGTTATCTACAAGAAAATACGTCAATATAAAATATAATCAAAACTGTGGGTTTCCATTGAATTCACATATGCGGTATCCATCGCAAGTTGTGGTCAATCTATTAGGAAGTTACTTAGTAATTATCTATTTAACTAGCTTTGCCCGCTGCTCTGCCCGTGTATATATCGTATATTTATAGCGGTTAAAAGTAGCCTATGTCTTTTCTCAAGAATCAAACTATCTTGATACCAAATTTCATCTAAATCGGTTTAGCGGTTTAAGCGTGAAGAGGTTATAGACAGACACGCTTTCGTACTGATAATATTGGTATGGATAGTTACGAGCGATATTGTCAAGAAAGGTAATCTCTAGATAAAAAAAGGCTTTTCAGTTTAGATCGAAACGTAAAAAGAAAACTGTTTTTAAAACATGTACACACTCGTACACTCTACTCTATTATCATAAAATAAACATACTTATATATTAATAAATATAATATTTCTTATACAATACTTCTTTTTATCTTCGTTTGATAATACTAAGGTGTATTGACGGAATGCGGTGAGGTCCGGTCAGGGGTTTGGGTTTTGATTAAACGAACAATGTCCAGAGATCAATTCGGTCTTAGCACATCAAAATGTATTCTATTTACTCCCACGGCACATTAACCGGAAGCACCAGTCCTTGAGCGAAGGAAAATTAAATAATTATTCCTTTGCTTACTGAAAATTAAACTGAAGAAGGGTTTATACCAGGACAATTGAATATCTCCGTAGCAAACAATGGACTAGTTGCCAGTTCAAATTTTGTTAATAGTAACATCATTTTTTTATAAACTTACATGATTAACAAAAAAAAAATAGATAAAGGTACCTATTTATAAATATATTAATATACTTTGATACGATTGTATCATAATTGTATCATATCTATTATGATACAATTTGTTTACACGACGTCGTCGCAGCATTTTTATCGAGTTACCAGCTCTCGTGACCAAAACCACTTAATTTATTTAGAAAACCGGTATGGCGTATATTTAAATATAAATGTACGTTCTATCAAAATAAACAAAATTATTATTTTTACTTTTGCTAAACACGGCTGTGCTATTGTATCAACAATGGATCCATCAAATAACTCGGTTTATTGGTTCGGCAACTAACTTTAAGGGACTATACGTACGTATGCTTTGATTTATTTTAGTAATTTAATATCAATTATTATCAAATATTGTAAAGTAAACAAAAGCAAAAATTTAAAAATTTAATCTTTGAAAAATCACAGACTTCCTTGAATAACCAATCTTGTTTACAAAAAGTTTGAAGTTTTCCCCGATGAACTACATTACGTCCGGCTTGAGTGTCATGCGCAGAAATGTTATCAGAACAGTGTGACCTGGCCGCGTATCATTACTAAGGCAGTGGCAAAGTAGTGCGGTCCAGTCCTCTCCCACGCATCACAATACGATCAAAATGAAGAAATATAGTAAATAGGTTAATTATAACAATTTTATTGAAAACATTTTTATTTTTTCGTGTGTGTGATTGTACATTATGGCTCACAAAATAAGGGTTTGTTTCGTGATAGTGCTGTGTGTGTCTGCAAATTTCGTTAACGGTAAGAAATGTTTTGTCATTTATTAACAATTGTTTAAATATTACGTTCGTCTTATAAATTATTTGCGAGAAGTAATCGCATTTAATAATATCACAAGTCATTATCTGTTATTCGACTAGAGGTCTTAAACGTTAGGAAATAGTTGAACTTTAGATAAGAATAACGTGTAAATTTGTATATGAATAAGTTTTGTGTGAGATAGTGGCCAAAAACTGACGTTTTTTCTTTCAATAATTAAAGATTAATTTGAGTATTTGGTTAAATATAAAGTATAAGTACGAAAGAGTTTAAATAAGAAAGTTAAGCAAGGCAAAACTAAACTTATAGTCTTGCCTTACAAATTTTATCGCCCCTTTGCTTTCGATTAATTTCCTTCGGATTGACTCTACGACTTTTCCTGACACTGGCAGTTCCAAGTGTAAATACTCTTAAGTATAAAGTGTTATACTTAAGATTATTTTCGGTCAGTTTAATTCATCATCATATACATCCATTCCGTGCAATTGCTAGTTAAATTTGAGTCGTATCTAAAAAAAGTCAGAGAAGCAATATTTAAAAAAATACTATTTTATGAAGTAACAAGAATTAGAAACCATGTTACATTTATAGATATAACCTACAAGGGGAAAGACTGGCTCGAGGTAGAGTCTAGTTAAAGGTACGGCGTCGATACGAGGGAGGGGGGACCTAAAATAACATGGTCCGAGTCCTCCCCAGAGTAGAGTGCCTGAGACTGGCCGTCGGGGTGGTTTTCAGTGGAAACACCACACACTCCTGGCTCCTGCGTCCCCTAGGAGCCGGAGATCCGAAGGGATTTTCTACCCCGTCACCAAAAAAAGAGATATTCATCACCACCTACAAATTAATCATCAAAATTAGGTCACAATTTTAGAAGATATTGCGTAATTCGGACCATTCCTGTGTGACAATGGATACCCCCCTCTTAAAGATCACAGTTTATGAAGATGTGTATCACTCGAAAATAATCCAAATTCGGTAATATTTTGTCATCTCTACATTGAACTCTCTTCTTTTTATCTGGTGAAGGAGACTTGTGTCTGCATAATAACCTCTCCCACAGAATATTTTTCTATCCGTGACTGTTAAGTAAGATGCATTAATATTTGAAAACTTTAATTTTATATTTCACATAAACAGCCTTTATTAGGACACTACTGGCCACTCCTTAGAAATTTAATATTTTTCCTTCTTCTCCTTTTTTTACGGTTGTAAACAAGCAATACCTACTATGTTTGGTTACGTCAGTCACATTAATTTTATGATGACAGTTACATAAAAATTAGGAGGTATAGCCTGCACCAGGGACTTCCTTTCTAGGGTATACCTGGTTCCCTGGATATTAGTACCCGAGACGGCGTGCGGTTTTAGTCGGTTCGAGTCCGACATGCCACCGATAGGTGGTATCCGAGGGGATTTCCGCACGGCAAAAAAAAAAACAGGGTTAACAGGGTTGTAAAATTTTGAAAGGAACAGTCAGTAAAAATATCTTTCAAATGCCAAGAATATTGTTTTTAAAATAGTCTAGACTCTTGATCAGTGCCCTGATCAAGATTATAATCAAACACCATTGAGACCATCCATTCTCGTAGGTAGACGCTTACATTTCACATAAAGTTTATTTCAGTTTTATGTCAAATGTAAGTATTAGGTAATAAACAATGAGTAGCAAATTTTTAAATTTAACTTTTATTTCAAATTCAATAGTTAATTAAAAATCCTGACTATATAACTTACTAAATTATTAATTTAAATCTGTAACTAAATAGTAAGAGCTGTTAACTATGCAGGTACTGTAATATCCAGATATTTAATTTAAAAAGGCCGCGCATTCCCTTGCCTCTCAAAAATTGCAGTAGTTTTATATTAAAATTTTATTTTTCTCTGGTCATTGTTCGGGTTTTTGGCACCCCTTGCTAAATGGGCAAAATGAATCTAATAAAATTTATATTAGTCGATGAAATAAAAATTATTTATTTTATTATAAATAAGATTTTGCATTAGATGAGATGGTAACGAGAGCATATAGTATAGACTAACTAATCTTTGATCTAACTAAAATAATTATGTAAAACTGAATTAAAGTAATTTCAAAGCAAAAAAGTCAACTAATACGTCGCATAGTCGACCATTTAAATCAATGCATCTTGTATATTTTATTATATGAGACAGATATTATCTTAAAATACGCACAGTAGGTATTGTTTATGTTAAGTAAGTTAATTAATAGTTTACGAAACTTCAATAAATGACGTCAGAGCTGGATAACCCGGTCAGTGGAACCGTGGAACCCATAGTAACTTTATACGGTGTCACGTTTCACTGGCCTATCATTTGAGGTTTAATTACAAATTATTCGTATGTGCATGATCTGATTCTCAGAAATAAAAGATAAGGATACTTATTCGTTGATGGTTCTGGTAACTAAGTGATGACGCGTAGACAGAAATTAAATAAATATTTACTATAGCTGTCGATATGCTAATAGGTATTTGAAAAATAAATTATGTAGTTATATGCCGACTGTATCCCGTTTCACAGAGCACACATAACGTATTAGAAACCATGGTTACTTTTACAATTATCATAAAAGGACAATGGCAGGTCCCCATACATAATTTTATTTGAACTGAAATGTTAGCGTTTAAATATCAAAAAATCCTTAACACTTGAGAATTTATTCTTGACCATTCTCATATCTAAATTACTTGCGAAAGAAGTCTAGGAAAAAAGATATTGGATTTTGAATGTTTCGAGGTTAAGTACTAACATATTGTTAATGTTTTGTTTGAAACTAGATGGCGTTGTGTGTCAGATAGCCGAAAGTATTATTTTCATTATTATTACAGTATATGAAATAAAAAAAATAAAAGCATAACATCTATTCGAGTTTAACACTAAATTAAACAGAAATAAAATAACAAACGTGGTGAGTCCGGAACTAGACTGGATCTAAACCACAGATTAAGAGATATGTACTAAACGACGACGTATCGACATTTTGAAAATATCAATGTATGTCTATTTATGTGCCGTTATCAATGACAATGTATTTTTCTCATTACACTGTGTAGTGGAAAATAACGTAACTATATTCTATTTCTTTAGTGTGTTTGAAATCGTTTAAAGAGAGTCAAAAATATTTTAAATCATTTCTAATTATGTTGATTCAGTCACTCTACCGTACGAGTGAAGACGTGGGCAGAAGCAAATTCATAATCATAATAGTGAACCTTCGGTAAATATTTCAGCCAAAGCTATAAGAATCGATTTTCGATAAATTGTTCCATAATATAATATTGCCACCACGCATCCCTAGTCAGTTATACGTGATGGCGAATCTGACATTACGTACTTAGGTCAATTAAAATCTTCAAAAATATCTTATCTCTTATAAGACTTATACAACACATGGTGGTGTAATGATAAATCATAGAAAAAAATTTGATAAAGTTTACTGTGACTCGATTTTTTAAACGCTTAAGTTTTAGGTAAATATGTTTCTGCCATTGTTCTTTCTAGAGAAATGAACGTGTTTGAAGTTTAAAAATCAGTTGATGTATTTACTACAAATGAAACTTTTTTTTCGTAGTCAAGAACCACATTGCTGTTAGGTTATTTGCTGCTTAGTGATCAGACAGTATTTTGTTTTTATCTGTGACCAAATGTCTTCTGAAAGTAAACGCGACATTTCGAGTATAACACATAAATTTGGCCATTGGTTTTGACCAATATAATAATTCATTTATAAATGTAAAAGTGAGTTAGTTTGTTACCCTTTCACGTAAAAACCCCTAAACCGATATTAAAAATTCTTTTACCAATTGAAAGATACATTATCAGCGAGTAATATAGGCTACTTTTTATAGTGCTAACCGACCTACCCGCTAGTAAATAATAAAAATAATAACATCAGACATTCCGAACTAGGCAGAGCCTGTGCTATGGTAACCAGACTGCTGATAGACGTCATCATCAATAGCTTTTAACAATCCACTGCTGGACATAAGCCTCTCCTTAAAAAGTAGGTTTTGGCCAACTATACCACGCTGGCCAGATGGGTTGGCATAGGGATTGTGTGGGTTTGCATAGTTTTCCTTCTCTCTGCAGTGCTGTTCTGCGTAGTTTTTCCCTTAGTCGGCTCTTACACCCACGACACCCACGGGATGAATAGGGGTGGTGACACTGTATTCTTAATCCTTCACCACACGGACTTAATCCGTCACCACAGGGACATACTGATAAACATACCATTTACAAATACATACATATTATAGATAAATTACACCAAGATACAGAACAATTGATCGTGCTCATCACACAATTGTTTGTCCTGGGCGGGAATCGAACCCATGGACGACTACCTTCGGCTTAGCAGTCAGGGTCACTAACCAACTAGAACAACAGGCCCGTCAAATATCGTTCCATTTTCTTTAAATGTATTTACTGTTAACCCATACATCTCGACTACTGATTCATTAAACACAATACGAAATGTATCTAAACAATTCTACCTCCACTTTGTTACAATCATTAAGATTTATCTTTTGTGTAGTTGGAAACTCATACAATTGATTAGTTAGTTTAGGAATGCATACGCAAACTGTTAAACAAACATCATTTTTAAATGAAGAAAGATTCTCATTCAAGATGAACAATGAATTTTGTCAGATGTTGAGCTAAATGATGAATCTGACGCTGTTGTTAAAAAGCCCTTTAAGAAGTGGGTACCAGCCCACTTCCAAGTATAATAATAATAACTTGAGATACCTAAATAACGGCTGTCTGATCGCAACCTAGGTTGAGCCTATGGATTATGCTGTGGTAGCCAGACTGCTGATAAATATTTCTAAATACATACATATTTAGATAAATTACAACAAAAAACAAAATAATGATCATGCCCATCACATTATTTGTCCTGGGTTTGAATCGAACTCACTACTTCCGTTTTACCTAGATGACGTTAGTTTCTAAAACTA